TACCAAGGTGTTACACAACAAACATCTCATGATGGGTTAAAGCAAAGAGCACTCCCAAAACCTTCACATTATTGTTGCAAAACATATTGATGGAATCGGATACAGACGCATCATAAAACTTCTGAATCCTCCAGTAAGCACCATTGAGGCCATTATCCACAAGTGGAAGCAACATCACTCCGTCATCAACCGGCCACGCATAGGAGCTCCTCACACAATTTCTGACCAGGGAGTCAGAAGAATAGTCGGAAGAGTAGCCCAAGAGCCAAGGACCACTCAGAAAGAGCTCCAGAAACACTTGGAGGCAGCAGGTGACATCGTCACAGAGAAAACAATAAGGCAATGCACACCATTACTAAAGAAAAGGCATGTCGAAGATCGTTTAAAGTTTGCTACAACTCATTTGGACAAGCCTGTGAGATACTGGGAGAGTGTAGTCTGGTCAGACGAGAGCAAAATGTAACTTTTTGGCTGTCATACTACACACCATGTTTGGACAAGAAATGGCACTGCACATCACCCTTAAAACACTACACCAACAGTGAAGTTTGTAGGTGGAAGCATCATGGTGTGGGGCTGTTTATCATCACATGGTACTGGCAGACCTCATATAATTGAAGGAACGATGAATAAAGCCCTTTACCGGAAGATTCTTGAGAAGAATTTGCTGCCATCCTCCAGGATGATGAAGATGAGACGTGGGTGAACCTTCCAGCAGGACAACGATCCAAAGCATACAGCAAAGAAAACTCAAATGGATTCAGAGAATAAAATCAAGCTGTTAGCATGGCCCAGTCAATCACCTGACTTGACTCCAATTGAACAAAATTTAAAGACAATATATTTAGAAGAACGGGCCAAAAATCACACCTGAATACTGCGGCCCATTAATTTCTTCATACAGGAAGCGTCTTGAAGCGGTCATTACAAACAAAGGCTTCTCCACTTAGTATTAAATACATTTCGGTTTTAGTGTTCAATACTTTTTTCCTGTGCCATTCCTCTTTATTACACATAACTTCATTTATGGACTTTAATGTTTGGATTTCTCTACGTGTGGATTTCTTGAGTTACTGATGTCTGGTGAAAAATCCATGTGAATAACCTCATTGGAAATATACTGTATTTACTGAAAAAAAATGTTGACGGGTCCAATACTTATTTCCCCCAATGTATGTTACTTTGTTCATATCATACAGGTTGACAATAGGCTAACAGTGACATTCTCAGGAATTGAATGAATGTCTTGTAACCACCGGAGTATCGTTTTCCGTTTACTTCCCACGATGACGTGGAATATCACAACACAGATTCAACGTCAACTGATTAGTCACACAGGCCTCCGTGAAACCCTTGGCCCTCCGTAACATCATCTGTCTAATTCTGGGTGAGAATGCATGTCGTGTTGTGAGGTACAAATGGACAGAAGTGTCTCCTAATAATCCTGGGCTTTATATTTAGCCCCAATAAACACAAACTGGGATGAGTAATAATGAGAGGAAAGACAGAAGATGATTATGTAACAGCCTGTGACTCAGACCTTGCAGGAGGCTCCATCCTTCCTAACACACTTACATGGGTGTTGTCTGCTTAAATGCTCTTAGCATATTTTCTGGACAATGGAGACTTACGGCATTAATTAAAAAAAAAAAAAACAACCAAGCAAACAAATGAAAACAAGCCTGTTGCTCATCTATGGAAAAAATATACATTTATTCAAGATAATTAAATTATTACATTTGTAAAAACAACAACAACAACAAACAAACAAACATAAAAAAACAACATTTTATTTATATATAGTAAGGCAATATGGCAAAATATTTTTAATATCATGATAGATTACATCACAAGACCCTTTTCTGAGATGTTGTGGATATGGTAATGTATTTTTATTACATTTTTAATGTTTCAAAAAAAAAGTAATCATAAACTAGGACTAGAAGCAGCTGATACGATGTTAATGATTGTAAGGATTGTACTCAAAATTGTTCAAATTTAGTCTCCTTTTCAGTGGAAAAATTATCCATAAAAAACTATATATATATATATATATATATATATATATATATATATATATATATATATATATATATGTATGTATAGTTTTTTTGATAAACAGTAAATAAAGTATCAAAAACTTTTTCCCCCAATGCAACACTGTTGTTTTGATGGCAGTTTATTAGCAAAGTTATATATCATGATACACATCAAGTATTGTTGACATCTCTTCTAGAAATATCTTCATCTCCTACCATTAATTTAGATCATTATTTATTTATTTCATATTTAATTTATTAGCAAAATTAGCAGAAGTTTTTTTCTTTTGCAATTGCAATCATCCATCCATCCATCCATCTTCAACCGCTTATTCCTTCTTCAGGGTCGCAGGGAACCTGGAGCCCATCCCAGGAAGCATCGGGCACAAGGCGGGGTACACCCTGACAGGGCGCCAGTCCATCGCAGGGCACAATCACATACATACTCACACACCCATTCATACACTACGGACAATTTACCAAGCTGCCAATCAACCTACCATGCATGTCTTTGGACTGGGGTGTCATCGCTGTGTGTGTCATCGCCAGCATGTTCAACTACATTGCTCTCGGTGCAACAAACGTCTTCCAATTTCACATGCAAAGAGATGTTGGTGCTGATACACTGAGCTACACAGTGAATGAAGCTAATCACACAGCACACAGTAGAGCAAACAAAGAGGAGTGTACTTCATCTTCCACCCTTCTCTTGTTTAAATAGTTTTATCATAGGGAAACTCCACCAGTTTTCAAATGGAGGCTATTTATGGATGAATATAATACATATATATAATCCATGTTGCTTTGGAAGAGTTCTCTCTTAATCATGAGTAAAGTTATAGGGGGTAAACAAAAGTGAAGAGGGAGAAAAGTGTATATTCGTTTCGCTCGAGATGCATGAATAATTAGACTGAGTTCATGTTTTTTGGTACTTTTCGATACTGATACCAGGACAGCCAGAAACCATGATGTGACTTTCAATGACCACTTGAACTTTACAGACCACATTTCAACAACTACCCGGTCCTGTAGGTTCACTTTGTATAACATCAAGAATATCAGACCATATCTCACTGATCAGGCCACACCGCTATGAGTCCAGGTTCTTGTTATCTGTAAACTGGACTATTGCAATGCACTCGTCTCAGGCCTCCTTTCAGTAGATTCAGAATGCAGGAGCACGCCTTGTTTTCAATAGTTATTTTAATTACAGTCACGGGTTGGGGGAGGGGTCTCCTCAACCACCACTAGTGTGTAGCATCCACTAGGATGATGCGACGGCAGTCAGAACACCCACCACACACCAGCTATTAGTGGAGAGTAGAGAAGAGCGATGTAGCCCTACTTGATAAGTGTCCTGGGATTTTTAATGACCACAGAGACCTCGGTTTAACATCTCATCCAAAAGACAGTGTTATTTTTCACAGTATAGTGTCCCTGTCACAAACCACAGGGTGAGCACTCCCTGCTGGCCTCACTAATACTACTTCCAGCGGCAACATTAGTTTTCCCCCAGGAGGTCTCCCAGTCAGGTACTGGCCAGGTTCAACCCTGCTTAGCTTCACTGGGAAACTTGGTGAGAACTGCAAGGAGATATGGATCTGGCTAACCAACCCAAAAGAACCCACATTATACTCCTTTTCATCAGAGTTCTTTGACATGAGGTGCCATGTTGAACTTCCAGTGACCAGTATGAGGGAGTGTGAGAGCAATGACACCAAATTTAACAAACCTGCTCCCCATTTACACCTGAAACCTTGTAACACTAAGAAGTCACATGACACCGGGGATGGAAAATGGCTAATTGGGCCCAATTTGGACATTTTCATTTAGGGGTGTACTCACTTTTGTTGCCAGCGGTTTAGACATTAATGGCTGTGTGTTGAGTTATTTTGAGGGGACATCAAATTTACACTGTTATATAAGCTGTACACTCACTACTTTACATTGTAGCAAAGTGTCATTTCTTCAGTGTTGTCACATGAAAATATATAATCAAATATTTACAAAAATGTGAGGGGTGTACTCACTTTTGTGAGATACTGTATATCTACACCGGCTCTACACATCTACTCTGTGCACTTTGCTCCTCTCGCATTCAACTAAAAATCTTGTATGGTAGCACTACTTGTATTGTTCTCTGCTTGATGTATCGCTTTCTTCATTTGTATTTCCTCATTTGTAAGGTGCTTTGGATAAAAGCGAAATGAATAAATGAGTAATCTTAGCACTGTTGATGCTTTTCCGGGATAAACAGAGCTCATAAAAAGCACACACAAGCATGTTATTGCATTTAAGCTACTAATTGCATAATGTTAGCTAGTTGATATGAAATGAAGTGCATTAGCTAGATACATTAGTGGGTTTCGTTTCACTTCAGAAAAGCGCTTCTACACCGTAGAGTACGTAAGTAAAATACGTTTTTGTTTTCAACCTTGTTTTGTATCCTCATTGTCATTAGCCTAGTTTCCATCCACTTGTTTCTCTTTTCTGTTCACGACAAAGTGAAAGTGCTGGCTCAAGTGCCGAAATTTGCTGGCTCCAGCCTGTTTCCATCCAATTGGCCTTTTAGCGATAAAATGGTGTGCATGATGACGTCATTATTATAAAACAAATTGGCGCATACGTTTTTGTGTATCGCAAAAGGAATCTACCCTTGAGCCATTTCCAGACATAATTTTGTGTATTCCGAAAATCGTCTTGATAATTCACACTTCCATCAGCTATATCGGTAAACATTTCGATGAGCTAAACCTTATTTCACAAAAAATTCTTGGATAGAAGCATAGCTAATGACTGATTGTCAAGCATAATGCACCGAGTAAGAGCTGTTGTTTTCATTCACCTAGAGTTGTCTGTGTAGGTTTTGTTTCCTGGCCTAGCTATAGTTTATTGCCATGTTGCTTGTGTGCTGCTAGTGATGAGGTTTATGTTTAAGAACTTTAAGATGTTTTTATCAGGCGCACAGTGGCTTAGTGGTTAGCACTTTCACCTCACAGGGTCCGGGGTTCGATTCCCGGCAGGGCCATGTGTGTGCAAAGTGTGAATGTTCTCCCGTTGCTGTGGGGGTTTCCTCCGGGTAATCCGGTTTCCTCCCCCAGTCCAAAGACATGCATGGTAGGTTGATTGGCGTGTCTCAATTGTCCGTAGTGGTTGAATGGTGTGTGTATGTGATTGTGTCCTGTGATGGACTGGCACCCTGTCCAGGGTGTACCCCGCCTTGTGCACGATGATTCCTGGGATAGGCTCCAGGTTCACCGTGACCCTGAAGAAGGAGTAAGCGGTAGAAGATGGATGGATGGATGTTTTTATCAGGTTGCTTGTATTGATAGCTCCTCCTCTTGATATTTTCCCACAGCACAGTTTGCAGTCTGCTCTGGTTTGATTGCCATCATTAATTGTGTACCCAATCCAGTTTTTTTTTTAGTATTAATTAATTCATATATATATATATATATATATATATATATATATATATATAACTTCAAAAAATAAGGGAACACTTAAACAGCACAATGTAACTCCAATCTTTAGTTTTTGGCAGTATATATATATATATATATATATATATATATATATATATATATATATAGATAGATAGATAGATAGATAGATAGATAGATAGATAGATAGATAAATAGATATAGATATATATATATATGAATATTATTAAAAATAAATGAGCATGGTTTGAAGTGATACCTGACATCTGGTACCAGTATCAGTACCAGTGCATCCATCGTTTTAACCACCACAGTTGTTAAACAGGTTCTTCACCACATATTTCTAGGAATATAGCTTAGGCAAACTCAAAATTTAAAACAGTTCTACACAATTTTTGTAAAATATATTTATGCTTTCTTCAAGTTGATGTGTCCAAATGTTACAGGCAGAAAACCCAAATTGAATCAAAACCAGATAAAAAAAAAAAAATTATATAGATATATGTATATATATATATATATATATATATATATATATATATATATATATATATATATATATATAATATATATATATATATATATATATATATATATATATGTTAAATAAATTTGTTTAAATTAAACAGCATTCAGCCCTCCCCACCCCCACCCCCCAAATATAATCGAAACACAACAAGCACACATTAAAAATGAGTAACCCTGATGGGAAATATTCATCATCATAGCCCTAACCCTGCTAATATATTTTTATCGGCGCAGATTCACAGCCCATTAAACTAGCCTATAAATTAGCCAGTATCTCTATTCAATTAATCTGTATTTTACAACACAATCACTCACAAAGCACCGCTGATCAAATTACACACACACACACACACACACACTCACACACACACACACACACACAGGGAGAGAGACAGAGAGAGAGAAAAACATACTATAAAGAATACACTTGCATTAAACTCATATCTGTTTATATCTGTCAAATAAGCCATTAAATTTCTATTTATACCACAACACGGTTGGATTATTGAATCTGATAGGTCAGATGGTGTTTATTAAGTTTCTATAACAGTTGCTCTGACAGTACTGCCGGTTGTAATTCAGATCACGGGTCTATATTAAATGTGCTTGTTCTAATTTTTTTCTATTGGTTTCTATAGTAACATTGTACACAGGGAATTGTGTAGCGTACGCTTTACGCCCCAGGCGTGCACCTTTGTGCACATTAAAACTAAACAGGGAAATTTCTGTATATGGTCCTAATCTTCCTGTCACCTATTCATTGTTTCCAGCTTCGATATTTGAGCTCTTGTTTTCTCCCTCAGCCATTTTGTCTTCTCCTGTTTCAATTCTAAGCTTTTTTTTTTTAAGGCTTAGTTTGTTGTTGTCTGTATTTTCCCCAAGTGTTCATGTTATATGCTTATGTGTTATGTCCCCAGCCAGTGTTTTTGCATTTTGTTGATGTCTGCATTAACTGCTTTCCCCTGTTCTTTGACCCTATGAACTGTCATTTTGGTTATGGTAAAAGCCCTAATAAACCTCTGTAGGTGGATGCATACTCCTCTCCAGGGTCGATTAGTTCAAACACTGATTGTTCAAACGCTACTTTTACTTTCATACTTTACGTAAATTTAAGAGCTAAATAGCACTTCAGCTTTTGCCCAGGATTTCTCCAGAGAGCCATTAATCAAAAAAAAACTAAATAGATCAAAAATAATCACAGCATTCCATCTTTAAATATTTCCAGAGTATAGTCAGTTCTTGGCCACATAAAGTACCAGGATCTCTAGCCAAATCTGGAAGTCTGGCTTGCTGGAACCTTGTGAGTTACCTTTAAAAGGAAGGGTCAAGAGCTGAGCAGTTCTGGTTCTGTTCTGGCTGGGGTGGAGCTAATCCTTAGGCTAGAACAAATGTAAAAAGATGTCAATTTGGCGACAAAAAGGGCTTAGCAAAAACGTTTTGAGCAGACATTAGCAACTGTTCTACACGTGATACAGCGCTCCAACTCACATCACAGCTGCTGGTTATATGACGTGAAAGAGAAAGTTCAGTTGATACATCACCAGTGTGTAAAGCCTGAATTAGTTGCCTGTGAGCCTGTTTTCCCAATGACCAGTCACTGATCACTATTGTTCCCAATGACCAATCACTGATCACTATTGTTCCCAATGACCAGTCACTGATCACTATTGTTCCCAATGACCAGTCACTGATCACTATTGTTCCCAATGACCAATCACTGATCACTATTGTTCCCAATGACCAATCACTGATCACTATTGTTCCCAATGACCAGTCAATGATCACTATTGTTCCCAATGACCAGTCACTGATCACAATTTTTCCCAATGACCAATCACTGATCACCATTGTTCCCAATGACCAATCACTGATCACCATTGTTCCCAATGACCAATCACTGACCACCATTGTTTCCAATGACTAATCACTATTCCCCATTGTTTCCAATGACCAGTCACTGTTCCCCATTTTTTCCCAGCAACCAATTACTTATCGCCATGGTTCCCAATGACCAATCACTACTCAACTTTGTTCCCAATGACCAATAGCTGATCGTTATTCTTTGACTTTGTTGGATATATTTACAAGAAATTCAAGTCAGCTATTCCATCTGTAACGTTTTCCTTTGTGTCTATTGTCCAACTTTCATTACAACTGCTTAATTTCATCTGATTTCTTGATAGAACTTATAGGACATTGTCTGTGGTGCCATGACCAAAGATGACCATGTTGTATAAAAAATTTATTATAATCTATTATTTTCTGTTGGGAAAAAGCTTTTCTATTCTATTCCTCAGTAATCATCCTCCTTCCTGTAACACATTTTGATCTACAAATGAGCATAATGATTCAATGAATGTGCAAATAAGTCTCTGGCATCATCTGCAGACTTCTAGAGACTTTCTTAACCCTATCTGCTCCATATCATGACTGACCCTGCGCTCTGACTCCAGCTCCCTCACAGGCTTGGATATGCAAAGAAAAGAATTTCACTGTACATATGTAAATGTGATCAATAAAGACTCATTATCATTAGCATTATGATTATGTGATTGCCCTTACATTGATCAGGTCCAAATCGTTTTTGCACTGATTAACAGATCAATGCTGTCCTCTCGGATCCCTGCTGCGTGCTGCAGATGGCCGACTTCTTCATAACGTGCTGTGCTTCTCATCAAAAAGTATTTAATTTGACTGATTAAGCCTGTACCACATGTGCAGAGCTTAATATAGATTGCTTGACGATTAACCACGGTAAATACGTACAGTTTACATTCGTTTTGTTATTAGATTAGTAATAAGTCTTATGTTTGATCATAATACATATGGCAGATGTGTTATATATTGATGCGTATATACATATTTCTCCATTGCTCTTTTAAATGATGGATTAACATTTAACATATGAACACAAATAAAAGACGTACTGGCGTGTTGTTGTATTTCACCATCTTTACAGAGGCGCAGAGACCTGTAGGACACCGGTCGCATGCTCGTAAATAAAGCTGAGGTAGATCGCATCCTTCTAACATATTAGAAACATCTTTCAAAATGGAGCAGGCTTTGATGGCGTAGTGGCTGTAAAAAGCTGCCTACCCCAGCGGTAGCTTAGACTTTATGATGCACCTCCAGACTCCCATGGTGCATTGAGAGACGTGCTTTAATTTATCGATTGTGTCATCGGTAGCTGTTCTGCGTTCCCGTGGTAACGGGTTGCCTCCCCCCGCACACTCCCATTCAACCATTTAGAAGAGCCACCAAGAGTGTGTGTGTGTGTGTGACTGTTTGTGTGTTCAAACCATACAGCTGTACACCCTTGTGCATGTTTCAGCACCGACTCCACTCATGATACAAATAATGATTCGGTGTTACTCTTTTCTTATATTTTTCCTGGAAAATGGAACTCTTATTCTGAGTATGTACTCGAGCAGTGACTCCTACTATTACTAGAAACCTTTTTTTTTTTTTTTTTCCCTACATTTGGGCATACACAAGTTATTGAATTTGATTCATGGTCACGATTTTTGGCTTTCACAAGTAATGACATATTTTGGGGCTGGGAAAGTTAACTAATTGGATTAACGTTATCTGCTCTGCTCCCTGTGTATGTCAATTTTGCTGATATACTGTGCCGAGTAATCGTGTTTAGATTTAGCATTTAAAAGATCCACTCGATTTATTCCATTAATTAATATGATGATACAAAATGATATCACGGTGCTGTTGAATATTCGATTCTGATTGGAGAGAAAGTGTTGATTAATTAATAATTTTCTTTTTCACTTACAGTAGAGGCGTCTGCCCCCCTTTGGGGGTGTGTGTTTTTGTTTTTTTTTTTTTTTTTTTTTGAAAAAATTTTTTTTTTTTTTTTTGGTGGGGGGAGGTTTTTTTTTTTTTGTGTGTTTTTTTTTTTTTTTGTTGTTTTTTAAAAAAAAAAAAAAACCCCCGCATCTGATTCCCTGCTATATCTTTCACAAGACCAAGAAACGGATGGTAGCCAATTTTCTCTCTCTCTTTCTCACACACACACACACACACATGTTAAAAGGAATCTTGG